ATTAAATTGTATTATGATTGATAGCTCTCTGTGACTAGACGAGATATTTGTGTTATTATTACCTGCATTGTTATACATATATTACTTTTTATTATCCTATGGATATCCGATCGAAAGTATTGTATTTTTTTGTCTCTTTTCTTATTCTTCTCAATTACCCATTTCTTTTTTTCCGGATGCTAAACGCCCCCCATATCGCCCCCCTTCGCTCTATCGACCCCCTGAATATCTCAAATCGCCCCCCGGTTGGGAATCACTGATGTAAAAATATAAAACTTCAAAACTGACAAAAAATCAAATTGTCGACCATAAATTATTGTTTAAAAAAAAAACGCAAGGTAAACATACGAGTACTATTTTCATCTATTCGTCATCTAGTAAACCCCCACCTATGTCTTAGAAGCTTCAGATATCTGCGAAAAATTTTGCCGTGAAATCGATGATTTTTGCATAACCAGACTGGGCTAATTAGAATTTAAATTTTTCTCTCCATCAATCCAAGTCGCATCGAAATACCTTAAATTTACGTATGTTCGTTTGAATTTTGCAGATTTGTAAATATGTTGTTATACATCAACACAGCCGGACATTGTTGTCAATAATAGTCGCAAGTTTAAACATAAATATAGGTTAGGTATAGTATAACATAGTAAAACCTCCACAGGCCCTTTATATAAAATTGTAAATTGCAAAAATATTTCATGAAATTGAAAGATTCCGCAGTTGGCAACATTGCCTTCACTTCAACCCCCAGTAGCCCGATACAACCCTGTGGTGTGGGGGTTGTAAAATCAATGTTCATGACCTAGCTTCAACCTCTGCACATTAAAAAAATCTCAAGAAACAAACAGGCATCAATTTCTCATCAATTATTTATTCTTTAATTCGTAGTTTATAATAACATCACATTTTGTTGACACAAACATGTGTACAAAACAAAACATTGCAGTAATCAGATGTGTTAGAACATACAGTAGCATGAAAAACAGTGAATAAGAACGCCAGTTTTAAGTTAATTCAGCAATGTCGCTTCGATGTTTTGAACTGGGCCAATTGTATATTGGCTTAGTTATATAAAATAATTAAAAAACTTACCTTATTGTCTTTATTTTCTCCGAAAAAACCGTAGTTTCATCACTAGAAAGACCACTTTGACATTTCTAACGAAAATCGATAGCACCTGCGCACTTAAAGTGGGAATGACCCTGTCCCTGGCGCTGTGTATTTCGACGTGCATGCACAACACAAATTACACAGATCCGTACTGACATTTCTCTCTAGATCTTCGAAAAATAAATTGATAGATATTTTTTATTTATTAGAAATATCGGATCCAGTTGTAAATAAATAACAACAGTATTGTAATACTACCGACTTTATTTATTACTCTAAAATGTAAGGAAAACAATAACAAAACAAACCTGATAGCGCCAACTTCTCCGTGGTCGTCCTCTCTTTCTTCTTTCAGGAGAGATCCATTCCAGTATTCTTTTAGGCCATCTCTACTCTGGCATTATTTTAACATGTCCGAAACCAGATTAGATGTTTTCTTTCTATGTCATCATTGATATTTCGCTCCATTTCATTAGTTTCTTATTTGTTCGTTTCTAACTCTCTCCAGTTTCGATCTACTCAGCTTCGTCTCAGATAATCCATTTCTGTCGTTATAAGTTTGTTTTTATTAGCTTTGGTGACGTCCCATACTTCCGAACCGTAAGTGTATACTTGGACTATACTACCGTAAATGTACTTTTTGGTTTTCTCGTCGAATTATTGTTTTTTGCCAGAGAAGAGAGTTTAAGGCACGGGTCGCTGCTCTACCCTTGTTTATTCTTTCCCTGATTTCATCTGCGCTATTTCCTTCTTGTTGAAAATGACCCCCAAATATTTGCAGGTTTGCACGCCTTTGATTTTGTCGTCTTCCAAGACTAGGTCACATATTTCATCTGTTCCCACTGATAGATATTCACATTTTGTCATATTCATGTTTAGACCTGCCACCTCACATTCTTCTTGCAGTTTTTTTAGCATATAGCTAAGATCGTCGCTGTCTTCGGCAATTACTACCTGGGCCCTGATTCTATTTCATTTCGATGTCGAAATTTAAAAGCGACTACGCCATGACAGTCGCAATCGCTAGCGATTCTCATTCATTTCGATTTTAGTTAAAAGTGGGGACATTTACTTTATCATTTTGACACTGCTCAGAATTTGGGTTGGCCGTCTTGTTTATTGGCTGCACGCTTGTTAAATGTTTGTTTTGTTTACATTTTACGATTTTTTGTTTCTTGTTTGAGTTGTTAAATTTTTAGTGGCCATTCTCAATGATTATATTTTGAATTTAAAGAAAATGGATGGATGCTGTTGGTGATGGTGGCACTAAATTGTCTGTGGACCAAAAAGAAATTATGATGGCTTTTGACTTAGTGTTATATTTATATTTTTAAATTTACTGCAGCTTAGTATTGGTATTACTAAAAACAATACATTACCGCTCTAAAAATTCTTGATGAGTTTAAAGATTATTTTATATCTCCAAATAAGAGTATAGAATTAAAATAAATTATTACAACCAAATTATTTATTATTTCTATCTTCCATTACAGCCTGTTGAATATATTCAAAAATTGTGGTTTCCAATTTAGTTTTAATATTGGGACATTTTATTTCTTTAATTTTTACACCACAGTATATTTTAAAAAATAATCAGTAGCATCTGGCTTGGGGCCCCCAGGTACCGCAGTTCTATTTTTATAGGTGTTAAAATTTCGACCAATTATGTGCCGAATCACATACAATTTCTGATAAAACGCAGCCATATTAATACTTTTTGCCTCAGTTTTCGTTGCAACAATCAAACAAAACAACACCGCCTAAACTGAACCTAACCTCGCTTCTCCCAGTCCCGCTAGTAATGTCAGATTAATTTCGACTCGAAATTAAATTTCAAACCACTTTCTTGAAGTTGAAATTAATTTCGATAAATCGAAATTTAGTGACATCCTTTGGTTAGTTCAGCTGAAATCCACTAGGCTCGCAAAGTCGCATTTCGACGTCGCCATATTGATTTCAACATGTTTTCAGTCGAAATCTCAATTAGAATCAGGGCCCTGGTCATCCACAAAGAAAAGTGTATATAGCGTGTTTTCTTCAACCGTTATTCCCATGTTTTCTACATTTTTTTACCCATTTCATTAAGGACATGTCCAAATAGATTTTAAATTAAGGTGGGTGACAGACAGCACCCTTGTCTTAGTCCCTTTGTTGTTTGAAAAGGGGATGTGATTTCTTGTCCCATTTTAATTCTTGCAAAGTTTTGTTCGTAGTATTTTTGAGTGGCGTTAATAAGAATTGGGTTTATTTTCAAGTTACCCATTTCTATCTATAGTTGGTACACTGTCATATGTTTTTTCCAAATCTATAAAAGCTATATGGGTTTCTCTGCACTCGTTTTTCCATTGCAATTTTTAATGTGAAAATATTATCCATAGTGGAGCATTGGGCCCTAAATCCCGCTTGTTCTTCGGGTTGTTTGTCTTAATGTCATTTTTTATCAGGTTTCGTAGTACTTTTGAGTATATTCGGCCTATAGTGACAATCACCTGCGATCCCTCTATAGTTTTTTAGGATCCGTCTTTGTGCCTTTCTTGTGTATTGGAGAGATATACGATTGTCTTCACTCTTCTGGAGCTTCTTCTCCGTTTAAACATCTTCGAATAATTTTTGGATCATTTCAAACAGTTTTGATGATCCATACCTAGTCAGTTCTGGATGTATTCCGCCTGGGCCTGGAGATTTTCTTAATTTCATTCCCTTAACTGCTTCTTTCACTTGTTCTATTGATATTTCTATTCTTCCTTCTACTTCCACTTGTTCATGTGTCTGTTTAAACCTTTCTCTTCTCTCTGTTAAGGTTTTTAAAATGCTCTACCCATGTGTTCTCTGGTATTCTATTTATTATGACTTGTTTTTTTTTGTCGTTGTTCTCATCGTTTTTATAGTTCTCCAGGCTTCAGAGCTCTTTGTTCCTCCTATATGGTTTATCTAGGTATTGGCATTTTTGTTCCCATGCACTATTTTTCTTTTTAACCATTTCTCGTTTGACTTCTTTATTCAAGTTTTTATATTGTTGTTGTGTTTGTTCGTCTCCCTGTTGTAATAACTTTTGATATACTTCCTTCTTTGTTTTTATGTTTTCTTCCACTTCTTTATCCCACCAATATGGTTTATCTACTCTCCGTACCTGTGGTCCTAAGGCTTCTAGCGCTACGTCTTTCATGCAATTTTTTATATGTTCGTATTCATCCGTCGTTGATCTGTGTGATTCCTGTAGTTTTTGTGTTAGTCTCCAGGAGTAAAGTGTGCTCTCGTTATCTAGATTGTCTAAGATGTACGTAGTTTTTTTTTCTCTGTGTTCTTTGTTGATGTCTGTGTGGTTCCTGTCCACGAATGGTGTATATATTTTTCCTATTATCAGGCAGTGGTCCGAGCCTCACTCTGCTCCTCTATTCACCTTTACGTCCTGTACTCCTAACTTAGTTTGTTGTCTTGTTACGAAATAATCTATTATCGATTTTAGACCTCTTGTGTGCTGATACCAGGAGTATTTATGTATGTTCTTGTGGAGGAAAAAACCATTCAAAATCTTTAACTCATATTGTCTTTAACTATTTTTTTTTGTACCCATGTTTATTATAAATGACTTTTTAAAGTGTACTTTAAAAATTAATTAGTTTACACGAGTTAATTAATAGTTTTCCCTTAAAAAATTGACGGCGCTGAACGTGTTAAACGTTCAAGGTACCAAATAATCGTGCCTTTTTCGAAGCTTATGTCATATTTGTTGTTCCATCGTAAGCTCAAAGTCCAGCCACTGATTGCGCTGCGAGGAAAATCAAAAAGGAATGGTTAGATTGGTAAAAGCTAAAGTCAGATTATTAGAAGTATTGGGACTGGAAAAAGGATCGATTCTGTAATTTAAAGGGAAATAAAATTCAACATTAAATTAACATTTTATTTACAGTTTAAATAAACAATAAAACACCCAAATTGAAGAGTATGCTGACAGCTGTAAAAAAATGAAACAAAGATAATATTTCATTATCTCAAACTAAAATATTCAAACGAGTAAAATACTGACATATGACTTATTTACAGAAGTATTTCACTATTAAAAACTTATTTAACAAAACGACTCAACATCTGTTAAAAGCTTGATGAAGAATTACTGAAATCACGTGAATTTTGATAAAATGTTAAATTTAAATAATTTCTATCTTTATAATAATATGTTTTATTGAACAGTTTAGCTGAGACATATAAAATTAATGAAGTTTCGAAGATTTTCTAAATAAAGTTCTTTAAATTTAATTATTCTACTTTATCACACTATTTATTTGACTGTTTTTGTTTCAATACAGCCTGCACACACTTTGCCATTGTTGGGGAGGCTCTACTGATCGCATCGGTCATGTAGTAATCTTTAAGCTCTTTAATTTTCACATCTACTGGTGAATTATGATCTAATTCTTTGTCTGAACTCTGTAAAAAAAATACAATTGATTAAAACATTAAAATATACAAAGATTATCGGCAGTTACAATATTCAAAGTTTCCTCACTACCATAATTATTTTTTTTACGTTCTATGTGATTAAAAAATAAGACTCAATGCAATTTTAGCCAGACACCCTCTCCCCTAACCCTTAAACGTTATTCTTTTGTTTTCATTTATTTTTTTTGGTTTGCAATCAATTTAAAAATTTTAAAAAATTCACACGCATAGTTGAGACATTTACAAAACGTCTTAGGTTCAGTCATTGATTATAAACCACTACCTAGATACCTCACTCTAAGGTAAAAACGAATTCAGTGTTAAACTCCGCCCACTTACACCTCTTGCCCCTCACGCTAAGTACTACCTGACTGTATGATGGCGACATTCATTGAAATCTTTGCCAATATTGAAAAATAAATTTCAGTTCCCTGGTCCGGCAATTCTCTAGTGCATTAGAGGACGATATAAGGATGGCATTCAGCATTTTCACAAGTAATTTTAACGTGCTTGTAATCTATATTATGAAATTAAGATTTTACTTCAGAAAAAACGCTAAAAAATTGATTAATGAAAACAGTAAAGGTTTTCTAAAAATTATTTATTTATCAACACAATACAAAAAAATAACAAAATATAAAATACATAATAAAATTAGCAGTGATAAATTACATCTCATGTATATTACTTTTTTGTAACTTTTCAAACAAATTAATTTCCAGAATTGATGCAAACTAAAATATTTCAAGCTAATATACAGAATTTATTTCCAGATTTAGTCCATTCACTCACGGTAAAATATTGCAAAACCTCATAAGTTTAAAGAATCGCTTGGATTGACATGAAATTTGGCTTACGCCTAGCTAAGATGTCAAAGGAAAAAAGATTATGCTTTTGCCCTATGGATCAGTATCACCCTTATCGGGAGTGAAAAAATATATGTTCAAGATAAGTTCGGAAGTGCCTAAAATCAGTAATTCTAAGCAACTTTGGTTTTATAGAGGTTTTTCCACTATGTCAATACTTTTCGAGTTATTGAAAAATAGGTTCTTATTCGTCAAATTCCATGTTGAATATTTCAACGTGAAATAATAAAAAACTGAAGCACTTTTCGACGAAAACTCATTACAACTTTTTTTAAAGTGTTTTAAAAAGGTTTATTTTTGTTAAGTTTCTTGCATCAAGAGTATGCAAGTTATGACCAAAATATTCAGAAAAGCAAAACCTACATTTTTTTACTCTTTGTGATTTTTGGTGTCACTAATAAATTTTAAGTTATTTTGAAAAAAGCATTTTTTTCAAAATTAAAAGAAAATTGTTAAAAAATAAGTCCTTTAAACAAATGAAACTTACAGATCATTATAATAATAAAATAAAAACAATGACCAAGGTATTTATTAGAGAAATCAGGACACGCATTGAAATTGCAAGACAAGCATTTATAAAAATGAAAAAAATGTTTGTTAATCGAGATCTTATCTAGTTTTGATGGGAAATAAGCCACAATTTTACTAAAAAATGGTTTTATTAACGTTTCGACGCCCAAATCGGGTGTCGTTGTCAAAATACAAAAATTATTAATGAATTAAACAAAACTGTTGTTGCTTAGTAAAAAAATTCTTCTAATAATTTATTTAATCTCACTCATTTATATTGGCAATTCAGGCATTTGTCACAACACTTCACACAGATAATACACTTAATTATTTGGAAAAAAATTAATTTCCTATAAAAATGATAATGAAAAAATTATTGCAAGAATCGAACAAATAAAAGATTTAAAAAAATATTCTAACTGCTAAAGTTGAAGAACAAAACTGCAACAGAAATCTGGTACCTAAATAAGCATTTTTAGGTTATGTACACTTAACCTGTGCGCTTATAAAAAATAGGTAAAATCTGTAAAAGACTGAAAGAATCACGTTTTTCCTTTGTTTTTAATCATGTTGTTCCAATACAAACATTGACCAATAATCCATCCGATACTTTAATTTGATTCTTTATCTCGTGGAATATAAGCCGAAAATATTTTAGTTTCAGTTTTATGATGCGGGAATCTCTATTATATTATTTCTTTCTCACTATGACAGTGTAACGTCAAACCTCTGCCAAAATAAAGAAAAGACTCTTTAGCTAAATCCCAGATTGGAAATCAAAACATTAATTTTGATACCTCGTTTCATAGGTCCCCTCAATAAAAAAAACTAAGCTCCGAACAAATTTGATAGGGACAAAAAAATATTAAATGTATACATTGAAGAAATTAATGAACTACGGAATTCAAAACAACTTTCAAATAAAAAATTATTGCCTCTCAACCTTTCATAAATATTAATGTTTTTTTTTGTGTCAGGGGACGCTGAACACGCTAGCTGCCATCTGTTCTGCCGGATTTCAACTGTCATATCTCTGAATCTGAACGGAATATATATATATAGCGTATGATGAAAATGATGTTTTTATTTATTTATTTATTTTTCAAGTGTAAACCATCATTAACATGTCAGTCTGCCCTGTGTTGTGTATAGTCTCAGGCCAGCACAGAAGTAATTAATTACAAACAGTCCTAGTGCCCAGCTGCAAAAATATATGAATCAGCATTCAACGATTGACGGAAAAGTCTTCTTGGCTCTGAATATCACGATGTGCATTGAATAACATACGACGCCAACTTCTCAAAATAAATTTTTTTCTATAAAACCACAGTATTGATAAAAAAAGGACATGTTTTGAATTTAGTGTCAACAATTTTGAAATTATTTCAAAATAAAAATTCTGTTAACTTTCAAAACTTATTCATCTTCGTTTACAATAAACATATACCTATGTAAATCTGGAAACGGTGGAGGGTGTCACGAAATACATAAAAATTTGTATATTGTAAGCAATAACTTACCTTAGCTAATTCTGCGGCTTGTTTAAAGTAATTAGCTTCTTCGGCAGATCCGTAACGGGTAAGGTGTGGTGCAACCTCATCTAGTCTATCCCTAATTTCACTTAAGTTATCGTATGGCAATTTAACTCCCAAAATTTCAGACAAAGCTCTTATTATCTTCCAGTCTTCTCTTGCTCTACCAGGCGGTGTAACAGCTACCAAAGTTTGTTGAGCTCTACCTTCAGTGTTTACATAAGTGGCTTGTTTTTCGGTATAAGCAGCACCAGGCAAGATAGCGTCAGCTATGCTGGCTCCTTGGTCACCGTGATGACCTAAAAAATGTTTTTATTAGCATTCAATTTTGTCGAAATAAGTTTAAATTATAGAGAACACTGCTCCTTATGAATAGCAGATAACAGGTAACAAAAAATATGCTGTATTACCTCTAATGAAATTTTATATATTATACAGGGAGTCTCTAAACTGATGCTCATCATTTCTGAATATGAATCAGCGGAGTAAAACAAATTAAATCGTAAGGATAAAAATTTTGCGTTTTGTTCTTGTTTACAGACATATTGATAAAAAACAAATATCTAAAAATCATTTTTAATCATTAAATTATTTTTCATATTACGTCTCTTTATTATTATTACTCAAAATCACACATTACTCAAAAGAGAATGTGTATATAATTTAGTCATGACATTCTAAGAGAACATGGCCATCAAGTGTTAAAATTCTACCTCTTTGACACTGCCAATTCAACGCTATTGAATTAATTGGGGCAAACTGAAAGTTCAATTACAACTTACCTTGGTAAATTACGAAGCAATCGTTTGGTAAGTCTGACTTATCAATGGCGCCGTTATCTGCTCCTAAAAGAAACAGTACCTTGACGTTTGCCTCTCGAATCTTATCAACACCCGGGGTGTAACCAATGTCTAAAGCAGCAACCTATAAGTAGAAGAAAAATATACTGATTTGTATGATATACCTATAACTGATGATTACAATAAAATTGTAAATGTAGCAAACTGGAAAATTAAAAAGGTTTTCTAGGAAATAAGAAAATTTAATATAGTATACAGTATTGTACGAATTAATGGAATCACTGTGAATTTTTTTTCATTTTTTCAATATTCACAGTTGGCAACACTACCTACATAGTTGACAGCTGACCAAGCATTGAAAAGATAACCTTACTGTGTGTTGGTGTGTTTGAGTGTGTTTTGGGTCATTTCTTACCAAGCTTGTGTTGTTTTGGGGTTTTTGTACTATTTTGTGTTGTTTTTGGTTTAATCCAACATGGATATTACGCCTAGAAAGCGTGAAAAGATTGTCACGTTGAGTGAACACACTAGTATGTCACAAAGAGAGATTGCTAGAACGTGTGGAGTGAGTCAGGGGGTAGTAAGCAAAATTTTGAAGCGTAAACGAGAAACGGGACCAGTGGATGTGAAAAGGTTAGGAAAATGTGGAAGAAAGAGAAAAACAACATCAGCAGATGATAGATTTTTACTTCGAAAGAGCAAATTGGACCCAAGAAAATCAAGCCAAGATCTACAACAAGATCTAGCAGCATCAGCTATAGTGATTCATGACTCAACTGTTCGTAGAAGACTTTTGGAGAATGGTAGAAGGGCAATTCGTCCACAGAAAAAACAGCTTCTAACTGAACGAATGAAGAAACAAAGGCTACTGTGGGCCAAAAAATACTCTAATTGGACTGTAGGCGACTGGAAAAAAGTCTTATTTACAGATGAAACCCACTTTATAGTTCAGGGACAGCGGTCGAAATTCATCAGGAAGTCTGACAATGAAAAGCTTACACCATCTCATATTGATCAAACCGTAAAACATCCAGTCAAGAAAATGTTTTGGGGATGTTTTTCATACATGGGGTTGGATCTTTGGTGCCAATTGAAGGCATGATGAACAGCCAAAAATACAAATCCATGCTGGAAAAGTATTTATACAAACAACTCCAAAAATGGCAACCCCAAGGAGGAGCGATTCTTCAACAGGACTCTGCTCCTCTATCACAAATCAAAGGAAATGATGGCATTTTTCAAAAATAAGAAAATTAATGTTTTAGATTGGCCCGGTAATTCGCCCGACTTCAACCCCATTGAAAATTTATGGGCCATTTGCAAAGCTAGACTGCGAAAAATCGACTGTACCACTAAAACAAAAATGATAGAAGCGGCCATTCAGGTTTGGTATCGAGATGAAAGGATAGGTTAGGTGTAGCATAGACTCATAGAATCTATGCCAAAACGGGTAAAAGCAGTAATTGCTGCCAAAGGGGGACATATTTCCTACTGAATGATGTAAGTTTACCTTTATAGTTTTGTCAAAATATAATTTTTTACTAAATAAACTGTTTTTTCATTAAAAAATGCTCATTAGAAAAGCCTATGATTCCATTAATTCGCACAATACTGTATGTCACAAAAATCTTGGTACTACACAGTAATTCACACAAAAATTAAGTTGAGTTAGATATGCCACTGCATTGTTCTGTTGTAGCCAAAGTGGTTTATTTTATCTGATTCATTCAAAAAAAATATTAATAATGGTAAAAGCATGTTAAAAATCACCTTTACATGCAAAACAACTTATTTCCACTATACTGATCAATGCTAACCACCTTATTTCCAACCAACCAATAGGAACTCTGCAACTGCCACTCATCTGAACCAGTGAGTCTTACAAATTTGAGGTTATGTGAGGGTTTATTCCATCGAGCAATAAGACAAAAGAGGGAATGTAAAGGTAGAAGGGTAAACATATTGATAGACAGGAAGTGCCATCTTGAGAGGCCACTTTAAACAAGGAAAGACAGTCTCTTTCCTTGTTTAAAAGTCAAATTTAGTTTGGTTATGTTATTGTTTGTCCCAACTGTCACATGAAATTTTATTTATATTGAAGTTTTTTTACCAATTATGTCACTTTTTAGACTATTATCGTTAATATTTAATTAAAACTTTCTTGTCTGAAAAATATTTTACAGGTATTGTTAACAAGTGTTGGAAAATTTAAATTTAGCGCCTTTGCATTTCCGGATATGTCCGCCATCAGAGGCCACTTTTTTGGTCTCCTTTTCATAACGATTAGATTCCCTCTTTTATCTTTTTGCTCGATGGTTTATTGTCATAGTAGTTAAAAACAATTAGTAATTACTTTATTATTTAAAGAATAATGGATGGGGCAGATGAAAGTGTAAGTGTTGCTGGTAAGGAAAGGAAGGGACTAGAAAGAGAAGAGTTACAGGAAGAAAAAAAGTAAATAAATTGCCAGGTATATACCTCCTAAAAGAGCCCTGGTTTTTGTACCGTTTAAGCAGAAAAATAACGTTTCACGTGCAAAAAAATAAGGCCTATTTACATCAACGCTTTCAAAGAAGAGTTCTATAAAGTTCCAGACACGAAAAGACAATAAAATTGCCAGTCTGATTCATACAACACAAGTCAAAAGACATAGGTTTAGCGACATATGAGATATCACATGACAGTATGGATGATAATAGCCACATTGTTTGGTAAATTGATGACATAGCAAATAAATGAGGAGGATATAACGAATATATTAAGATATCAAAAGCAAACAAGGCGACTACCAAAAGGGCACTACACAGTATCTTCATTATTAATGAATGTATAGCGACATACGAGATACTATTAGGTACTATGGATAAAAATAGATTTACTATATGACAATTGATTTATCGACTGTGGCCTCTGGCTAAGTCCAAAACAAAGAACTGTTCGAATCCTAACATGCGACATAGAAGGGGAGGAAATAATGAATATATTAAGATATACAAAATCAATGTTTTGAGTTGTTATTTTAACAAGTTGTTAACAAGTTTTTAGTTGTTACTACCCGTGAAGAAATATGAAACCGAAGTCTGTGTGTTACTAAAATGTTATAATAATTACAGTACATTTTTTTATTTGAATCTGTCCCACCTACACAATCTAAATTTAATGTATTATGACCCTCTACAAAATCGAGTTTGACACCCCTGGTCCATATTCACATCAAAAAGTAAGATTTTATTTTATTAATAATTTTAATATAATTCAAAATTTTTTTACCTGACTTGCAACTTTATGTAAAACATTCAAAACCTTCCAGTCTTTGTTTCCGCTGGCTGTGCCAGCAGCCAACGTTTGTGCTGCAGAAAGTATAGCACCGCCGTCTTTTCTTTCCAAGGTTTCCGATCCAATAATAATTAGAGGTCTTTTGGCAGCTTGCAACTTTTTGCTGAAAGGATGTTGTCCGGAAACAATTAGTTGTAGGATTTTAGGATCGTCGCCAAGATCTTCGTGTTCATAGGTTAGGTCGATTTTCGGTCCGATCGAAGCTACCTAAAAATAAAAAAAACAAATGTGGTTATTACGTTCACATGTACCCCCGCTGAAACAAAAAGTAAAAGAATTGAGGCGTTCTAGTGTGAGCGTAGTCCAGGATGACGAAAAACATAATGGCTCAAGAATCTCCGCTAGTGGTATGGAGTTAGCACAAGACACTAATTATGAAAAAATTCATAATAGGCGCAGTCAATAGGATAGGGAAGTCCTTAAAAGGTCCTCGTCACTTAAGTGTTTGTCCACTATGCCAAGAACCAGCCCTAGGGAAACCGGCTGCAGAGAGTTCACCCGAGGGAATTAGAAGTTAGAAGTCTTTAAGATCGAAGGAATACATATCAGCATCATCTTTTTCATCTTGTAAGCGAATTTTATTACTTAGAATTAAGAAGATTGAAAGTTTATTGAAAAAGATTTTACATCAGACTCCTCTGAGTCCTTAGATGAGTTAGACTTAAATTTAGAAGCTAAATTAAACAAAAAATAAATAACTGGAGAGATAGATTTAATAAAAAGATTAAATAATTTAAGAGTATCACCTATAGATATAGATAATTTATGTATTCTTCTAAATTTTGATGAAAATCCAAATGAACTACATGAATTTATCGAAGTTTCAACAATACTTCTAAACCATTATTATGATAAACTTAATACAGCTAATATACAAATAAATGTTTACCTTACCATATTATAAGTAAATTAACAGGTAAAGAAAAAGAAGTAATATCTGTAGTCTTCTTCTTCTTCAGCCTTCATTTATCCATTATTGGACATAGGCCTTCAAGAATTGCTTCCACGCTCCCTATCTTTTGCAATTCTCATCCACTGCGTTCCAGCTACTGCTGTTATATCGTCTATCCATCTCTTTTTGAGTCTTCCCACACTTATTTTTGTTTCTCGAGGTCTCCAGAATGCCACTTTATGAGACCATCTGTCTTGTGTCTTGTCTTGCTACATGTGCTACCCATTGCCATCTCAATGTCGCTATTTTTCACATGATGTCAGTTACTTTAGTTCTTCGACATATTTTGGTGTTAAGAATTTTGTCTCTGAGGCTTATATTTAACATAACCCTCTCCAGGGCCCGTTGAGTTACTCTTAATTGTTCTGTCATTTTTCTTGTTATTGCCATAGTTTCCAATCCTTAAGTTGCAACTGATAGTATACAAGTCTCATAGGTTTTTCGTTTTAAGTGTATCGGAATTTTTCTGTCTTTTACAATGAATATCTGTATATGGATGTGAAACTTGGGATGAAATAAAAAATGCATTAATTCAAAATTTTGGAGACCAGAGAGATGAAAATTCGCTTACACGGAATTATCATGCATTTTTACGAAAAAATAATGGGACTTTTAAGCTGTATTAACAACTACATAGAACTACATACTGTGAATGCTGATAAAAAATTATGCAAACAAGATTTTTTCCGTCAACAAGGTCTCACAACATTCCTAATAACGAAAAGGGGTCCATTATTAGAGCACTGAGACCAGGAAGTTTAGCAACAGCAATAAAATATGTGCAAGAAGAAAATAATATACGATATCTTCAAAAAAATCAGATAACTCAATCCACAACACCAGAAAGGAACAAAAATTACCAAGAAGGTTGACTGCAAAGACCAACTCACCAAGTATCCATCCTACTGACTGCGCCAATTATGAAAACATTCATAATTCACTATTTAGGTCCACTGCAGATAAAGTAAACATCAAGTGACTGGTCGACAATATTTTTGGAGGACAAGAAGAATATTTCTAGTAGTTGGTTCAGGTTAAGAAACTGGTAGAAAGTACCCAAATATACTTACATTTAAATCGTTGTGAATAAATCCTTTCCTTAATCTGGCATTCAAAAGAGGAGCTTCAAACCTCGGGTTACTTCCAACCAGTAATACCAAATCGGCTTCTTCAACACCAGCGATTTTGTTATTCAACAAGTAGCTGGATCTAAGGTCAGTACCAGAACCGTCCAATGGGAAAGTATGTTCGGTACAGAGGTTTTCTGATCCAAGTCTATTTAAAAGATCTTTAAGAGCAACAAGAGCTTCAGCATCTGCTAATCCTCCGGCAATTGCTCCAATCTTGTTACCTGAAGTAATTATAAGTTATTTTTTTAAATTTTCTAAACAAAACAACAATTAAAATAGACCTTTTTTCGAGATACTAGAATGTTAGACTAAAGAATGAAAATATTGAGAAAAAAAGTGCTCATACCTGCTTGTTTAATAGCTTTACAAACGGTCAACAAAGCTACTTCCCAATCAACTGGTTTCAGTTCACCTTGATTGTTTTTAACCATTGGTGTAACTAGTCTTTGTCTTTTTAAACCATCGTAGGAGAATCGAGATTTATCAGCCAACCTATTAATTCAAAAATCTTATTAAATTCACATGTTTTTAAAGTAAAATTTCAAATATTTTAAAATGTTCTTAAATTTTAGTCAAAATTAAAAGTCGAAAAAAATTTGAAGATACCATTATCTCCATTTAATTTTACGTAAAACTGTAAGAATTATTGTTAAAAAATCTTACCATTCTTCATTAATCTCTTCATTCACTCTAGGTACAATTCTCATTACTTCTCCAGTTCTAGTTGATACAATAATATTAGAACCAACAGCATCCAATACATCAATTGAATCAACTTTTCTAATTTCCCAAGGTCTAGCTGTGAAGCTGTATGGTTTACTAGTTAAAGCACCCACTGGACATAAATCAATGACATTGCCAGATAGCTCAGACATGAATAATTTCTCAACATAAGTACCAACTTGCATGTCGTTACCTCTTCCAGTGGTACCTGTAAAAAAACAATCTTTATTAAATGGATCTACATATTTTCTTGTAATTAAGGTCAAACGAAATACTTGTATGTAAGTATCATTACTGCTGATGCTTGTTGATGCTTGATAAGGATCACATGGATTTTATAATATGGATCCATTAAAAAAATATGCTTAAGCTAGGTTATGCCATAAAAATTCATCTGATTTGGGTGTTAATCCCATCCCCACAACTGTATATAATACATACATGCATAACTTTAATGTAACCAATTTAGGATGCATTTTAAACAAATGAAATTTTTGAACTTACCCAAATCATCAACTCCTGCAATTTCAGAAGCAAATCTAATACATCTGGTACAATGAATACATCTTGTCATAATAGTTTTGACCAATGGTCCAATGTCTTTGTCTTCTACAGCCCTTTTTCCGGAAAAGTCAATATCAGTAAATCTTGAACGGTCAGAACCAAAGGCCATACTCTGATCTTGCAAATCACATTCACCACCCTGGTCACAAATTGGGCAATCAAGAGGATGGTTCACTAATAGGAATTCCATAATACCTTCTCTGGCTTTTTTGGTCATTTCAGAGTCTGTTTTAATTCTCCACCCTAAAAATAGAAATTAATAATTAAAAAAACAAAGAATGTGATGTTTTTGTTAACCTAAACCACCTAGTGAATGCTTTAAATTATCTCGAAGAACCATTATGAAAAGAATGTTTAAAGAAGCACAATGAAGAATGGAAATAATGCAAAAATAGATTCATTTAGAATATTTGTTAAAGAATGGGTTTTAAATGGAGAAGAACTGAAGATAACAGGGCAGTTTTAATGTACAAATTCAATGTTAAAGCAAGAAGAACCTGAAGAATGGCCTGAACCAATGCGTATTGGTACTAGACAATGGATGAAATGCATAAAACGTAGTATCTGCTAAAGCTTCAAGTAATTCTACATTTTTGTAGTACTTACTACATTTACAAAGCATTTTGTTTCCTCTGTAGTATTTGCTACTACTATTTAACAGATACATAGAAGGATGTATTACGCTTTTGAAATATTTGCTAGTTTAGTAGAATTTGCTTCAGTTTAGGTGGATAAATGACATTTATGAATATTCATCCTAGAAAAATCTACAAACTGGAAGAATATACAATGACGATATTTCTCATAAAATATTCAGGTAATTATTATTATTTTTTTTTTATGAAACCCCAATCTCCTCTGTTACACCCTATGCAAGACTGGATTTTCTCCAATGTTCCATAACTCATATAATTTTCTTTGCCTGTCAGTTAGTACGATTTTTTTGTTAGCAGTTTTTTTTACGTCAACAATTTTTTAACTTTTGTTTTCATGTTGTTGAATTTCTTCATAATTTGTTTTGAATCCAGCTTTTTTCGATAATTTCATTAAAGCCAGCAATTAATTTATTCAATGCAGTTTCCTTTTTTATGTTTAATTTTTGGTTCATTCTTTTAACAAATAAAATTTGATAATTTTCAAGAAGATAACAAACAATACTTGTTCATTTTTGTCCTCACCTAACTCTTTTGTCACTTTGGAATCTGAACCACTCATTTTTACTGACTACTCACTTATTCTAATAATAATTAAATTAAAATAATAATAACATCGAGTTAGAATCTATGGAGAAGCTATGAGCATATTAACATATGTATTAAAAACGGCATAGATAGGAGTGGCTAACTATAATACCAATATGGCGGTGACATCAGGGCCAGACTCAATAATAATAAAACTACTATACAAATATGATTAGTTATTCAGAAAATTTAATCATAATCTAAAAAAGTGCAATACATTTTTAATAAACTATGATTTATTTATCCCACGGTAAACACTAAAAACACAATATATTATACATAAAGATAAATTAATACAGTCAAATAGTATTAATTTATTCTCTGAAGTATGGGCCATTACTTTGTTTACATATTTGTATACTAACCTGTGGAACAATATTCCTGAAGATTTTTTATTAACATTACTTCTGCTACTGCAAATACATTGAGAACAAGAAACCATTATTATGCACTATCACAATATATTACAGTTTCTATAAAATTATTATAAAACTGAAAATATTCAAAAAACAACAAATATAACCAAACATATACAATCTGTCAAAAGTTTTAAAACAATAATACCAATATGGCCGAAGTTAGGTCGTTTTTAGTCACATGATGTCCTCTCCATAGATTCTAACTCGATGAATAATAATTAATTAATTATAATAAACAAAACACAAGCATATGAAAAACCATATGAAAAACTAGTTCTAATATGATTGGTGTGATGTGCACACCACTGGCGCTACATTTAGTAGTAGATCCTTCAGGTCAGTAGCAAGTACTTCAGTTGTGCAGTACAGTCTTTTCAACAAAGCACCTCCTTTTAAGTAAAAGAAAATGCTACAAACTAGATACCATTTTCTGAAGCAATAGCATCTACTATGTTTTATGCATTTCACCCAATGCTTCTTATCATAACACACTCTTAGATCATATTCCAAACTTTTTGTGAAAAAAAGATGCAATCTTGAAGTGGCTGGCTCAAAGAATAATTTTCTATCTGACAAAATAAACTAACGCTAACTATTAACAATTATATAAATACACAAGCTTGTTTGTTAAACATATATAATAGATCAAAGTCTAGCAAAAGATGATGTTTTAAAATTGCATCTACAACTCTATTTAGAATAAAAATGAATAAACCAAAACAGGAAAATAACTGTTTTATTATTTTTATATCAAAACTAACTTTTCCAATATATTGCTGTTGCTTGGTATCAATAGGAAAATAAATAAAATAGTGAGTGTCACAAATTATTCTATATCTCTGATACATCAGTATTCTCACCCTTTAACTGTGGTTTATCAACAACTATACAACAGTATTTTCTTCCTTTAACCCTGGTTTATCAGGACCTATTTATATGATAGTAAACCTACACTTTTCAACTAATCTGATTTATATATTAAAGATACCTGTAAAAATAATACACTCAAAAAGTAACCTACTGAGTATGAAAGTAAAATATTGATTTAAAATTACTTCTATACCTTTCATCACAGGCATAGCACAGGCTGCTACTGGTTTAGGAGATTTTTCAACTTCAACCAGACACATCCTACAATTCCCTGCAACTGCTAATCGTTCGTGATAGCAAAACCTAGGAATTTCAATTCCAATCAATGCTGCAGCTTGAAGGACTGTTGTACCTGGTTCAACCAACACTGATTTATCATCTATAAATACTTCTATTTTCTCTGGTTTTTTTACTTCGCCACTTTGACATCTTGTGGCAACAAATAAATGTTTTGGGCTAGCTTTAGCCCCGCTAAGGACTTTTGAAACCGTGAAACGCAGCATACCTAAAATGTAAGTTCCAATTAACGTTACTTAAATTACATAATATATCCTTTCAAAACATGTATTTTAAACCTGTTATTTACTATAAATATGGCATTTGTAATAAAGGAAATGTCAAATATTGTCTGTAATGGAACTAATAAAGATACCTTAGTGTTTAAAATTTAAACAAATATTGAATATTAGGAAGAAAATGACATGATATCCACTAAGGGTTAGAAATTTGACATTCCACCAAAGATTAAAATGCTAGATGACAGTTAATGACAGCAGACAGTTTACAAGTAAAGCATATATTGGCATATATTTATATTTCAATAAGTAGATCATGATGTCATGTAATTCCGTAATTCTTTAAAAAATTGTTCCAATAAATATTTCAAAGTAAATCCACAAAAAAAGTTAAAGATAAATATATGTGACATTATACCGAATAATTTTTGTGTCTATTTCTAGTTAACTAATTGAGCTTTCCCTTGATTAAAAATTATTTTTTTTATTCATCGTTTAAATAATAAAAATATACAGTTACAATTAGGAATCACAGTCTCAGTATTTTCAAACTTAAAATCCTTTGAATTGATGTATAACCTGGGATTGGCATATTAGAATAAATAAAGGTCTAGCAGTCATAATACTATTGCCTGAATAAAACAGTGCCGATTTTTCCTCAACTGAGTACATTCTCTCAACTTAAACAATAAATTCAATAATTCAATATTTAAACAATAAATCATAACATAAAAATATTGACAATTAAAATATTGATATTTAACTTCAGTGTGAGCAAACGCAACCAGTTATACACATAAGTGCATTACGTGTGACCTAACTTTGATCATAATATTCTGGCAAATGTATTACATATATTTTTGTGAAATTTTGGAATGTATGTAACTCCTAGAATAATTTTTAACATTTGTTTTCAATACAGATTTTAGTCCTCTACTTCTCATAACTTTTGATATAAAATAATTCTGAAAGCATAAATTCGACAGTTTAGAATTGCCCATTGAGTTTCCTATGACCCGTTTGACGATTCACCACCAGGTATTGAGCTAATCTATGCCAAATTCAATTCTTCTGGTATCTTTTCTAATCATGTATTAGAAATTTATTAAAAAGACTCACGAGTATTTCTAATAATATATCTGGGATATATTTTACCAATTAAATGGGAGTGTTTCCAGTCACAGCTCCTTTTTTATTTCTTCCATCATTCTTAATGCAGATTTAAGCTCTTTAAACAATAATTTTTCCACTCTCGTACGGAAATTATGGGTACATTTCTAATCTCTTTTGTACTCTTTCTAAGATTCTTGATTACTTTCCAATCTTTTAAAACACGTGTTCCTCCTCTTTATCTTTAGATTTCAGCACATTAATTTTCCCCTGCTGAGTTTTAAATTTGTCTACATCTTTCTTCACTTTTCTATTACACCTCCTATATTATTTTTTATTCTCATTGTCATTTGTCATTAACCAAAGCTCATAAGCTCTTTTTCTCTATAATTGTATCTTTATCTTTGATGTTCTCGTTCCATTATTAAACCTTTCTGTTGTGGTTTTCCCTGTATCCTACAAATAAAGTTATTAAGGCGTTGGTTAAGTTCTTCTGTATTCCGATTTATTGCAATTTTGCAGATAATCCAAATTTTATATCAACATCTGCACTGATTCCTGAGTTAAGATTTAACGTTGAAGTTCTCTTGTGATATTTCTAATTCTTTACAAGCATATCGTTGGTTTTAATGTTTGTATTTGATTACTACCTTGTAAATATATGAAAAATATTTCAAAATAGAATAATGCAATAGAAGTCAATGTTATGCCGTCTTAACTTAGTTAAATCAAAGGTTTCGTAATCTTAAATCTTAAAATTTGCATTATTTGTGCCAATACAACGTTGATAAAAAATGTTTTTATATCTCCGTAATTCAAAATTAATATGCCATTTGTGTTTCAATTTGAATCAAAAAAAGTGTAACGTTTTTTCATAGGTATATGGTTTAATATAATACCATCATAATCATACATTTATTTCATTTTTTATGTTATAATTATGTATTTAGTAAATAGATACCTTGAAACGTGTGTGAAACTCAGTTATGTCAGCGTTCAAAGTACAGAAATACGATGTCAGATTCGGATTCGGATGAATTGCACGTGCGAATGAACTAAACCAGTGCGGTGTTGTCAAAATTCTATTAAATCAATGTTTAAATCTCAACCGTCTATATTCTTTGTCTCAACTTTGGCGGGTATACACTTTTTTCAACAAAATTATTTAAACTTATCTATACTTATTCAAACTTACTTAATTTATGCGTTATAATTTTTTTACATTAAAAAAATTAATTGTTACGATTTTTAAATTTAAATTGTAAGAGCTGATAAATTTTGAAATAATTGATAGATTCGATCGTAACTTGATGGAAATTCATTTTATGTAACAATAAAACACTGAAAACTTTGTTTTCAAACTTCCACAAAATTTATATTAATCTCTTATCACTACAGATGTTTCGGCTAACTGCCTTTCTCAAGTGATCTATTTTTGGCATGCGTTTACACTTTATAGTCTCTATTCATTAGAGATGACCGAGACGACTTTTAGACCGAAGTCTGTTTGTTACTAAGTAGTGAACACGATACTATAGCTTACTTGTAGTGTACGGTTTTGTGCGTTTTAAAAGGTTTTATTTTGCATAATCTAGCCATGTTCCAATTATTTTATATTGTTTATATTTTGATCAGTATTGCTAAGTTCGGTCCTGTCTTACACACTTATCAAGGAAAAATCATAAAACTTCTACTTTACAATTGAACTGGCAACACAGCATAGATTTTTTTTAGGAAGAATAGTTCAATTAGTTTATACCAAAATTTTACAAAGATTAAATCTAGTATCTAGTCAATTTTAATTCTACATTTTCCCATGTAGTTTAAGGTTTAATTACGCCTATAAAGATAAAAACAGTGAGTTTTTGTTTTTCATCGCAGTAAATTAACACACCTGTGATTGTTTAAAATATTAAAACTTAAAATGTGTAAGTTTGAACTAAAACATCTCGTAACTATGTTAAAAGAAACCAAAGCCTTTGAGCAATGTTTGAAAACCTTGAATATTGTATCGATGGGCAATGGCAAGTGTATTGCAGAATTGAAAGTTCTAGAGGAACATACGAATCCCATGGGAACTTTACATGGGGGACTCTCAGCTACTTTAGTGGATAGTGTTTCTAGTTATGGTCTATTTACGCATGAGAAAGGGGGTGTTAAAAGCGTGTCTGTTAACATAAATGTGTCCTACATGGGTGGTGCAAAATTGGGCGAAGAGATAGTTATTGAATCAGATACTATCAAAGTAGGGAAAACTCTTGCTTTCTGTGAAGTTTTAATAAAAAATAAGGCAAATGGAAACGTTTTAGTAAAAGGTGAACATACCAAGTATTTAATGAGGTAACTCATTGATTGTATGTGTAGAATAATTTGTAGATATGTTTTTGTTTTAATTTATTTGCTTGTTACATTAAACTGTTAAAATAATTCCTAGCTTATTATTTAAAATTCCTTATCATACTAACATTACATGCAAACATAGATAATATGTTATATTTGTTTGACATTTCCTTATCATTTTCATAATTAAATAACTCCTGATTTAATGGTAATATGTTAAAAGGTAGTGTATTTTGAGGTCTCTGGATATGTTTAACCAAGTAGTGATTTAAAACAATTTAGACAACATGTGGAGAAATGTCTAAGGTATTGGAAAGAAAAATAGAATAGCAAAGAATTGTTTCATTTTAATAGATGTATAGAAAGTTTAACAAAATTAACAGGATCTCTAAAATTTTACAGACAAAATCAATGATAATAGTATGAGATCAGAAGAATGTGAAAAAATAAGGCAAAGCAGCAAGTTATGTTAAAACTGTTGTTAATTAAAAATGTAATACTAGTAGAAAGAAACTTTTTTCTTGATTTTAGACAAATTTCCTAATTTTTTTAGTTCTAACTTTTATTGTATCAGCCCTCTATGATTAATCCATATAACCCTATATAGTGGGGATAATGTGCTTGATGTTTACTAGTTCATATTGAACCAATATTCTTTCTTTCACTCTGTTAATTTAAAATCCATTTAAGGATTTCTTCCACCAAGACACCCATCTTCAATTTGTGATTTATTGATCTTCATCAGTTAATGTTAGTATAGCTAAAATTACTACAGCAAAGGGTTTCCCAACGGTTTTGTTGCATCAATGTTGGAAAGTCCCTAAATTTTAGAAAAATGGAGTTCCTTTTAATCAGTTGTGACAAATGCCTAACAATCTCCAGTAAGATATTGACTAGTTATTTGAATTTGACATTTATCCATATTTGGTATTTTCTATTTCAAATAATTTTGAACAAGTAAAATTAGCAAGTACTTAGATGAAATACAGTAGGTTTACCATATTGTTCACAGAAACAGAAGAAATGAATACAATCTTCAAATGAAAACAGAAAGAAGTTAAAAGTCTATTGTTCTGCTTATTCCAGTGTATTTTTTAATGCTGCAACTATCTTAGTTAAGGGGCAATTCATGCGCAGTTGTGGTCATTAATACTGTGCAGTGAGCAGCACTGATTGACCAAAGATGATGAGGATCTATTGAAAACTAACCAGGAAACCTTGATTAAGCTCTACAAAGACCAAAAAAGGCCAAATGCCATAATGACAAAAAGGTTTATGAAGTTGATTCATCTTTATTAACTTCTGTTTCGCAAGAAAGCCAATAATTGGATTCAATAATTGGATATTTAAGTAATTTCAAAACTTGAAATTAAATATAAAATCAAAATTAAAAGTTTAAAAAATGCGACTAACAATCTTAGAAACTAAAAAAAAAACAAAACGTAACAAAATTCAACAATCCCAATATACATATCACAAAGCAAGAGATCTTTTTAACCGAGTTAAAGTTATATTGAGTTATATCAAGAGCATTTAATAGCCCCATGTATCTATTCAATGGGTTGTGAATACCATAGGTTGTTCTGTGGAAAGGAATATTGAAAACATTGTGGTAACATAGAGCTTGATGGGGAACATTAAAGTTAATCTGGCTTAACAGGTTTGGATAATTAATAAATCTGTGTATGATCTTTTATATAAATATAGCTCCTGATATATCACGCCAGTTTTTGAGTGAGGGTAAAGATAATTGTTGTTCAATATGGGAATAATCATGATTTTCAATAGTAGTGTGGACATGGTAATCACAATATCTCAATTTATGCTCGACTCTTTCTATGGTATCAATATTGTTCTGAAAATAGGGTAACCAACTAACTGAACAGTATTCCAAAATAGTTCTAAATAAGCAACAATACCCTAATCTTGTTGAATCAATGGAGAAATACTTGCAATTCTTAGTAACGACACCAAGAAGTTTAGATCCCTTTCTTGAAATAGAGTTTATGTGGTCACAGAAAGTAAGCTTCTCATTGAAAATTACACCCAAATAGAAGAAACATAATTCAGTGGCTGATTATTAATAGTAAGTATGCTTGTTCCAATTCTATTGAATTTATGAGCAAAACTTATAAAACAATATTTTTTTACTTTTAAATGGCGTTTGTTTTGATTGCACCAATTTTGTAGTTGATCTAAGTCATCTTGTAGCAAGGATTGATCTTTTAAGCTATCTTTAACTTTCAAGTCATCTGCCTACATTAGACATTTACTATTTAGGAAACAGGAAGTGATGTTGTTAACAAAGATATTAAAAAGAAGTGGAGAAGTGTGGCCTCCTTGAGGAAGTCCATATATTACTGTGATACTGTCAGGCAGATGACAACCTATCTTGACTCTTTCTCTTCTCCAAGATGTAGAGTATTTAATCACTAGATCACCATTGGTGATCTACATGATTAAATGCTTTAGAAAAATCTGTGTATTGCATCTGCCTGTTTACAGTCTTCCATACGAGATAATATATCAGATTGATAGCAAATGTTGCAAAAGTAGCTGTGCTATAAGACTGTAGAAGAGCTTACTGATTGCAGATTGTATAAAAATGCTACGATAATTTTCAATATTGTCTTTTTGACCATTTTTAAATATAGGAGCATCATTTTTGATGATGTTGTTCCTATATTTAAAATCTTGTTGTTTCTACATTTTTTACTGTTAGTGTTTTCTTTTACTTGCCTGATTGTATTGAATATCACAGATTGATTCAATAAATTAACTCAACTAAATAATAAATTAAAAGACAAAGTTGTTTTGATACAATAATTTTAACTTATTTATTATTACTTTTATCCTATTTTATACTATTATCAACTAGAATTTATTTGTAACAGTTTATATAATCTTAAATTAGTATTTCTACAAGGAGTAATTTTGTCATTAATATCTATACTAGGTATACTATAATAGTTTGGAATATTTCTAGGTTGAACGAAATCAGCAAGAAGTAATTCTTTGTCCTTTTGTGGTAGTGGATTTCTAGAAGCTGCAAATGGTTGAGTTCGAGGTTTATCACATCTTAATGGCATTAGGTTTTTGTATAATGGTTGGTCATATGGAAAGTTAACTCTTTTTACCTACAAAATGAAAGTTATTACATATTTAGAACATTAAATTGCCCCAAACAAAACAAATGTGTATATTAAAATAAGTGACCTATTTCAACATGGTTACTTATTAATTTTTCAAATTATTATTAGTAACTAAAACTTATTTTCTATAAAGTCTGAGAAGAGAGATATACATACAGCAAGGAAATATACAGTCAACAGAGAATATACAATAATGAAAGCTATGTGTATGTGAAAGTACTGCAGAAAATAAGCAAGAATCAGCTGATAGTCATAGCAGGCTTCCTTACTAGACACCTGCTTTTAATGGGCTTATTTGATGGACACATGCTGCAGACTTATTTACAGATAAACTAAAATAGTCAACCATATCTTGCATGTCTACAAGGCACTAGAGCTCAGGAGGATTTGAATACTACCAAGTAATTCCAAATATTTGAGAGAATAGTCAAATTAAGTGTTTATGTATATCAAGAGATTGTATTTGTAAAACTAGACTAGATATCAATGTTCAACATCTTGTCTTTAATCCATTTTTTTTTGTGAAAAAAAATGATTATTTTAGAAAAGAAATGATTTTTTAAGTTCAGGGTATTTTATATAAAATCTACTGATAATTTTATGCAAAATCTAGAAGCAAAAATATACAGAAACAAAGGTGATGATGCCTTTCAGTTTCTCTGGTTGTGATAAGGAGCTCTAAATATTGTAGAAAAGTAGATCAGCCACTGTTGAGTGGAAGTAAAAAACGTAAAACCAAAAATTTACAGACTTTAAAATTTAATTATTTACAAGACATGTTTAACATGCTGCCGAAGTAAGATATTCTCTATATTATTTTGCCCCAGTAAGTATTTAGAAAGAGATTTATCTTTTGTATTAATATAAATATTGTTAAAAGCCTTAAATGCATCTAAAATTGATATGAAATATAAATATAAATAACTTTGGATCTGTACAAACCTTTTCATCAATAACTAAATTTTTATAATCAGCATCTGAACAACTTTTAGTTTTCCGATATTTAGTAATGGAATCGATTTTTTTGAACAGATTCAGAGTGGTGTAATGCTCAGGAAATTCAAATGATTCAATCTTCTTTATTGGTTCAGGAACTTGGACCGATTTGCTTTCTGAGGGCTCACTTCGACCTGGTGTGATATTGTTTTTGATAACTTTAGTTACTGGTTTGGGTCTCTCAGTGTTTCTTACAAGAGTTTTTTTAACAATTTGATTGGAATTTTTTGATGCTGCAGAGTTACAACTTATTCTTTGCATTCTCTGGTTAACATTTTTGGACAAATTTTTGTCTTTAGGTTTACTCATATTTGCGTTAATTTATCAATAACAAAAATAACTAATTATACCTTTATACTTAAAGATTGTCAGTTTAGAATTCAAATTAAAAACAAACAACTGTCAAAGTCAAAAGTTAGGTTATAATTCTTTATTCTTCTTGTCTGTAGCACAGCTTAAAAGGAATCAGTAGAGAAAAAGACGAGGAAACCACCCAGAGAAGTCCAGGATGCCGAGAAGGAAACAAATCAGAAGATGGTGCAAAAGCGGAACATCAGGAAGAAAGAAGGCTAAAATTTTTTAAGTTATGACATGTATATATTATTAGGGCAATAAATGTTTTTATTTTTATTTTTATTTTTTTATTTTTATTTTTTATTCTTTGTTCACTCTCACTGTTCACTCGTTCACTCTCGCATTTTCACGTTTTCAATTTTGATTCCACTCCTAGGTATGTGCGCAATATATTTGGTGAAAAATGATGCTGTTACAAGATTTAAAATATTCCATCAGTTTCAAAGAATATTCCAAAATTATAATAATGTAATTATTATACAACTTCTTCAAAAAGTGGAAA